CTCTCCACGGCCTGGGCTCCAAACTCAGCACGCAGCGCTACACCAAGGTGGGCCGCCGGAAGTCAACCAGCAACATCCCTCCCTCACCCCTGGCCTGCAACTCCTCCTCATCCTCCGCCCAGCCTCTTTCTCCACAGCGCTCTCCCTCTCCACTCTCAGGCTTCGCCAAAACCCTTCACACGTACCACGGCAAAACCCTGTCCCCGCCCACCATCGTTAGACACATTGTGCGGCCCCGCAGCGCAGAGCCACCTCGATCTCCTCTGCTGAAGAGGGTACAGTCAGCTGAGAAGCTGTCTGGTGTCTATCATGCTGATAAGAAGTCGTATGCCCCCCGCAGGCACACGTTGGAAGTGCCGTATTATGGTGAGGGGGACCTGCTGGGTGACTTGGAGGCAGAGGGTGTCTGTGGAGGCTCCTACATTGGGGTCGATCACAGCAGGCTGGGGGGATACATCGGCAGCCAGAGGATGAGGGACTCTGGGATTGAACGATCAGAGCAGCTGGTCGTGATGCGAAAGCTGAACCTGTCAGAGAGGCGAGACTCCTTTAAGAAACAGGAGGCAGTGCAGGAGGTGAGCTTTGATGAGCCAGAGGAGAAAACCAGCACCACAGTCACAGTGACCACTGCTCCAGCCCAAACGCAGCAGCAGCATAGGATGGCCTGGATGCTCACTCGACCCCAAACCGGCGAGGAGGTGGAGCTGGAAGTGCCGGTGGTGAGGAGGTTCACGCTAGTGCCCCAGATCGCCGTGCAGGGCTCAACGGAGAGCGAGGGACAGGATGAGTGGGAGCCGTGTTCCGATGGTGAGGAAACCAACGAGAAACCTGAGCTGGAGCTGGGCGTCACTTCATCTCCGCCACAAAAGGAAGGTCATCCTGTCACTGACAATGGCTGCAGTCAGGCAGCAGAAACCACCTCTGGATCAACAGAGAAGACTGAGTGCAGAGAGAAAACTCCACAAAAAGGACATCTGAGAAAGTGACTATACTCATTTCAACTACTCATAGCTTTGCTTTCAAGTCTTTCAAAGGTTGTAAACTCATTTGCAAACTTGTCCGGCTGAGAGAGAGCGGGAGGAGATTTTACTTGAATTTTGTAAATGTAAATATTTGCCTCAAGGCGTTGTGGACTTTCTGGTTTTATTTATTATATTTGCAAACTTTGTCGAGTTAGTAAAAGGGAAAGAGGGAAGTTCTCATTGGTTGAAAAGCCAAGGTTAAACATTTTTTGTATCCATAAAATGTGGTTTTATGTCTTTTTGACTAGATTGTTGTTGTTTTTTTTATATATATATATACCGGTATGTCTTATTTTTTTAAATAGATTATCGCGGTACAGACTAGTTTGATAATGCTGGGCATACTTGTTAAAAGACCAAAAGGTACAACAAGTCATTTTAGAAGTTGAAGTTAAATTTTTTGCCTCCTTGTCAGTGTAGGTTTAGATCTGATCCTGCGCAGCTTCCTATAGTGTAATACTACTATTATCTTGATCTCCATCAACCTAAGAATGACCTTTGGTTCACACTGCGAGCAACATGGTTGATTTGTCATTTCCTGATCAGCTGTCAGCCCGACTACAATACTAATGTTTTTGCTGCTTTGCTTAGGCCTTTTAGTAGCACTACATCGCAGAAGAAAGCGTCAAAGCTATTGAGCACTTATTAGCATGCAGGAAAAAACTGCTTTGAGTTTTAAAGATGTTCATAACTGGAATTCTTCCATTTTGTACCTGTCAGACACAACTACTGTTCATAAAACAATCACATTGGTGGGTAAAGAAGAGAATTATGGTTTTCTGACCAAAGAGAGGCATGAAAAGTTTAGTTGTTTGGCCCATGTTTGTCTGACAACTTTATCAGGTTTGTAAGAAATTAAAGTAATTCCATTGACGTGTTGATCATGTACCTTTGCAGTGTGAATTCATGGTCACGACGTTGTTCTTCTTACATGTGGAACCAGTCAGAACAGGGTAATATTGCACACTGACACTGTCCACTTTTGACTTTAAAGTACAATCTGTAATGAAACCGACTCAGAAGGGGTATTATGTGCCATGATATCAGTACAGTGTCCTCTAAGCCATATCTTTGAAGACAGAAATGTCAGTTGAAATCATTTGTGTTTGTAATCTTAACTGCACATGAAGATCTTTGTGTAACCCCCCCCTCCCCGTTATGGCATTCTCTGACATCAACATCTCATGAAAGACGAAGTTGAGGATGAAGTTGTGGATGTTGCAGAGCATGATACACGCATACACACACGGCTTTGTGGCTACTCGATATAGACTTTGTGTGATACCATATTATAGAGGTATCTCAAATGATTTGTCTTTTTGACATCTGTAAACACTGATTCAGCATGGCTCTGCGTCTCGCTGTAATAACTTGTTCTACTCAAAGCATGCAATGTGCAGGAAAAACACTGAGCAGCCAAATTGAAGTCTATGTCATCTACAGAGACCGGAGAGAATATCTTTTTGTTTAAAACATTTTGGGATATTTTTTTTTTTTTGGTCTTTCCTTACCTATAGTGACACATCATTTTGTACCTGGAAATGTGTTGGATCCTTGTGTATTTTTTTAGCGTTTTTTTTCGCTCACATGAGCATGTCAGACACATCTTGCCTAAAAGACCTGTTACTACTTAATTTACGTGTAGTGATGTTTACATCGAGGGGGAAAAATGCACTAAAGTATTTTCACATGAATTTTGCAAGTGAATGTTGAAGGTGAAATGAAACCCCTTACATTGAATCCAAACCCAGGGCTTCTTTGAACAAATGTTTTATGTATTGTACAAATATTGATGTATATTTTGATAACAAGGGTGTGTATAATTCCACATGTGTTGAAAGACATGATATGCACAATGACAATTTAAGGCACTGGGATTTTAGGAAGACTGAGTCGAGGGAATGGGCTGTTTTCACAAAAAACTTTGCTGGTATTTAGAACCGTATTTTACATCCAGTACAGACTGGATGTACTTAAGATTTTTTTCCACTACAGCGACAGAGTTTTGAGGTTTGATGTCCTAATTGTCAGTGGCTGTTGCTGGCTTTTGTACCAACTTCCTCTTGAGTCTTCTGTTTATTGAATTGTTGATGTGTTCCTTAAGTCGTTCTTCCTCCTTTTAAAAGAAAAGTCCTTAAATCTCATGATGACGACCTTACGGGATGCCGTCATGTCAGTGAAGGGCATGGAGAGATTATGTCCCCGAATGGCTCAGTTATTTTTGCAGTCTGACGGAATTGTTTACAATGAACAAACATGCTATGTACTGTACAGACATTTTATATCCTGTGGCTGTATATGATGAAACTACCCTCTTTGATACCATGAAAGAAAACGACTCTCAAAGACGTAACATATCTGTTTTTGTTTTCTTTTAAAACTGTTCATAAGGAGTAATTTAGCGCCAAGCTGAGAAGCATTTACTGTTTTTATATGCACTTAAGTTACTGGTTTATCGTCAAGCTTTTTGAAAATACCTGTTTTCATAGTCATCGTATTAAATCAACCCAGTTCTATTAACTGAGCTAAGGGATGAAAGGAAACCTGATAAACAGCTAGATTTCTTGGGCAAGTGTACACTTCACCTGGTTTGTAATGGTGTTTTTTGTTTTTTTACACGTGCACATTTGCATTAAAAGGAAGTCACACAGGCAAAATAATGCTGCAGAGGGATTAACTAAAAAATCATTATTCTAGAGCTAAATTCTTGTTAATAAAATTATAGGATGTCAGATAAACTAAAATAGCAGATTTAACACTATTTGTTCAGTTCTACACACATTTGCACACTAAGGGACAACTCTGTAAAAAGGCTTCACAGTTTGAATACATCACTATTTCTCAGAATGGCTTGGTTTCTTATGTGAATATAAATGTAGTAAATGCTCGATTGGTCTGGTTAAAAGTCTATGACTGTGATGTGACAGCTGTGAGGTAAAAAAGACGAGCTCAGCTGGTGTCAAACTTACACTTAAAGAACAAACTGGCAGGTAAAACTATTGTACATGTGCATGTGTTCTCCTGTGGACTCTTCTGTTCAGTGCATGCTGCATGAGACAAGCACACATCTGTAATACTTGACTGCATGGTATACCGGCGTTGTCGCCCTGTACTGTGTTTTCTTGTGCAACAAATAAAATTTGTATTTCTCTTTGACTCATCCTTAGTCTGACTCCACCGGTGCTTGAGTTGTATGTCCTTCAGCACTGTTCACTACACAGAGGCTTTTGTTGAGTCACATACAGTGGCTCTTACACGGCGCTGATGTAGGGAAAATAATCAGGTAATATGCAGGCTGTAAAATTTGACAATTATTTTTAAAATGTTTTTTGAGACGGCCACATTGACTTCTGTCATCTCACACCTTTTACTTTGTATGTCAGATGACATATTTTAAAGACATTACAATAAACATGTTATTCAGATAACTGTAAAGTTAAAATTTCAGTAATCAGATGTGGTCAATGCTGCATTTTTG